ATTAGAGGGGGGGGAATCGATTTTTAATTACAACCATTAGAAGAAATTACATTTGCAATTCTTTGGGTGGCCTGATGGATTGCCTGATTGACAGCTGAAATTGACACTTGCAGCCTCTTATCCTGGGCATTTTCTGCAGGTTCTAATTGCAGGTAGTTTATGTGTGTGTGTGTTTTTTTCCCCCCTTGCCTGCCTTGGATTACATGGGAACGAAACGATTACCTCAAGAGGCATGGGTTAAGTGCAGGGAAAGAAAAAAAAAATCAATCTAGATTCAAATTGCTTCATTAAAAAGACACATCTTTTGTTGCAAATGGTTTAAATGCCTCCTGGATTTGTTGTCTGGAGCTGGTTTGTATGTGGCTGAGGGAAATATAAAGGGGGACGGTGGTGGCTGTTAAACCAACTTCACGGGGCTGAGGCTTTTTTTTTTTTTTTACCTTGGCAATATCTCCTGAGGGTTGAAGTCCCACCACAGGAACCGCCTCGGGGTTGTTGTTTTTTTTTTTTGGATATCCTCACAGTATGGTAAGAGCTTATGTATACCTGCTATAATATGGGCTGGGGTGTTCTGTGTAGGCAGCAGGGGAGCCTGGTCGTGGAGGGGATGTCAGGAGGTCAGGCAGAGGGACAGGTTTGTCTAATGTATTCCAATGATGGGGACTTTACTTCCAATGAGAAGGTGCACCGACTGGGTTTAGGCAGCAGAGGATTCTGAGATGGACACATTCACAATGTAACAGTTTATAAAGTAATAAAATATCATTTCTAAGGAAGGTAGGAGAGATATTTACAATGTAACACTTTATAAAGTAATATAATTCTAAGGTAAGGTAGGATATATATTTACAATGTAACACTTTATAATGTTATATAATCCTAAGATAAGACAGATATTTACAATGTAACATTTTATAAAGTAATGTATTATAATTTTAAGGTGAGGTAAGAGAGATATTTATTTACAATGTAACACTTTATACCGTCATTTATTATAATTCTAAGGTAAGGTAGGACAGATATTTATAATGTAACACTTTTATAAAGTAATGGCATTAGAATATATGATGAGCCAGGGTATCGATTTACAATGTAACACTTTATAAAGTTATAAAATATAATTGTAAGGTAAGGTAGGATATATATTTACAATGTAACACGTTACAAAGTAAAACCGGAAATTGTAAGATAAGCTCAGACATATATTTACAAAGTTTACACTTTAGGAAGTGAAAGGAGGGGCTTTGGAGATCACCAAAGATACATATTCACAAAGCAACACTGTATACAGTGATAGAATAAGATTATGAGATCACCAAAGACATATTCACAATGTAACACTGTATACAGTAAGACAATAAGATTATATAAGGAGCTGAGACACATATTCACAATGTAACACTGTATACTGTAATAGAATAAGATGATACGATCACCAAATACATATATTTACAATGTAACACTTTATAAAGTTATAAAATATAATTCTAAGGTAAAGTAGGACAGATATTTACAATGTAACACGTTACAAAGTAAAACCGGAAATTGTAAGATAAGCTCAGACATATATTTACAAAGTAACACTTTAGGAAGTGAAAGGAGGAGCTTCGGAGATAACCAAAGACACATATTCACAATGTAACCCTGTATACAGTAATAGAATGAGATTCTGAGATAAGCTAAGACATATATTTACAATTGAACACTTCACACAGTAAAACCAGGAGCTTCCGTGATAACCAAATACACATATTTACAATGTAACACTGTAATAGAATAAGATAAGAGAAGCTGAGACACATATTCACAAAGTAACACTTTGCAAAGTAAAATCAGGAGCTTCTAAGATAACCACATGCACATATTCAGAAAGCAACACTGTATACAGTAATAGAATACGGATCTAAAATAAGGCAGGACATATATTTACAACGTAACACTTTACAAAGGTAAAACCAGGAAGGTCCAATCGTAGCTAGGACACGGATTCACAAAGTAACACTGTATACAGACATGGAATAAGATTCTAAGACAAGCTGAGACATATATTTACAAAGTATCACTTCCCAGAGATTAGCCTGTGGTTGAAA